GTATCATGTTGTTTTGCTTATTATAGCTTTATAGGATATTTCGGAGTCAGGTAGTGTAATGCCTCCAACTTCATTCTTTTTGCCAAGGATTACCTTCGCTATTTGGGGGTCTGGTTGGTCCTGGTTAATTTTAAGCTTGTTTGTTCCATTTCTCTGAAAAAGTCATTGGTATTTTGATAGAGATGGTATTGAATCTGTGTATCACCTTGGGTAGTATGGCCACTTTCCTAATGTTTTTTCAGTTCATAAGGAAAAATATCTTTCAATTTTTATGTCTTTTTCAGTTTTTTATCAATTCTGTTGTTGTTTATTTTCTGAGACGAAGTCTCACTCTGTTGCCCAGGCTGGAGTGCAATGGTGCGATCTCAGTGCACCACAACCTCTGCTTCTCAGGTTAAATGATTCTCTTGCCTAAACCTCCTGAGTAGCTGGGGTGACAGGCGCATGCCACCACGCCCTGCTAATTTTTGTATTTTTAGTAGTGATGGGGTTTCACCATGTTGGTCAAGCTGCTCTCGAACTCCTGACCTCATGATCTGCCCACTTTGGCCTCCCAAAGTGCTAGGATTACAGGCATGAGCCACCACGCCCAGCATTATCAATGTTTTTAAATTATCAGTGTAGAGAGTGTTCGTCTTTTCAATTCAGTTTGCTGCTAGACATATTTTATTTTATTTTACTTTATTTTATTTGGGATGGAGTCCTGCTTTGTCACCCAGACTGGAGTGCACTGATGCGATCTCGGCTCACCACAATCTCTGCCTCCTAGGTTCAAGCAATTCTTCTGAGTAGCTGGGAGTAGCTGGACTGCATCCAGCTAATTTTTGTATTTTTAGTAGAGACAGGGTTTCGCCATGCTGACCAGGCTGGTCTTGAACTCCTAACCTCAGGTGATCCTCATGCCTCAACCTCCCAGAGTGCTAGGATTACAGGCATGAACCACCACACCTGGCCAGCACCTTTATTTTTTATTGTAGATACAAAAGAAACATTGCCAAAATTGAACATGCCTTTGTGATTTAAGCAACTCAACAAATTAGGTATAGATTATATATATACAGTAAAGACCATATATGATTAATAATGATCAGATTAATAGCTGATACCATACTGGATAGGAAAGAGGAGAAAACTTTTTATTTGAGATCTGGAACAAGACAAGGATGTTTTTATTTTATACTATAATTGACAGCATCCAACCATGTACACTGTAAGACTGGAGCACAAGTCAAATATGGATCACTGATATGTGTATTTCCAGTATGAGTCTGTGTTTATTTATCTGTATGCATATTGTTTTTGTTTTGTTTATGAGTTGTATACTTGTTTTGTTTGTGTATACAGTTGTGGTTTTGAGTAGTCATTGAAATCCTCCTAATTTTACTCTCTATTTATTTGTAAATCTATATTTATGTGTGGGAGAAACACTTTTGCGACTTGAAGATAAGTTCAAAAACTGTCATATGTCTGTATCTCAGATTTTAGATACTTTTTTTTTTTTTTGAGGTGGAGTCTCGCTCTGTTGCCCAGGCCGGAGTGCAGTGGCCAGATCTCAACTCACTGCAAGCTCCGCCTCCCAGGTTTACGCCATTCTTCTGCCACAGCCTCCTGAGTAGCTGGGACTACAGGCGCCCGCCACCTTGCCCGGCTAGTTTTTTGTATTTTTTAGTAGAGACGGGGTTTCACCAGGTTAGCCAGAATGGTCTCGATCTGACCTTGTGATCCACCCGTCTCGGCCTCCCAAAGTGCTGGGATTGCAGGCTTGAGCCACCACGCCCGGCTAGATACTATTTTTAATTGTCAAAAACACATAAACTTTACAATCTTTTTTTTTTTTTTTTTTTGACATGGAGTCTCAGTCTCCATTGCAATGCAATCAATCTCCATTCACTGCATCTTCCTCCCAGATTCAAGTGATTGTTTTGACTCAGCCTCCTGAGTAGCTGGGATTACAGGTGTGCATCACCACGCCCAACTAATTTTTGTATTTTTTGTAGAGATGGGGTTCCACCATATTGACCAGGCTGGTCTTGATCTCCTGACCTCGTTATCCGCCCACCTCAGCTTCCCAAAATGCTGAGATTACAGGTGTGAGCCACTGCACCCAGTCAAAACTTTACAATCTTAAATACCATTTTTTTCCAAATTTTGTTATTACAATTTAACTTCTGGGGTACATGTGGAAAACATGTTACATAGCTATATACACGTGCCATAAATACTTTGAAGTATTTACCTTAGTCATATTATATCAATATTGTTATGCACTCTATCTCTGGAATATGTTTATCTTGCAAGTCTTAACACTCATACACATTAAACAACTACGTACTTTTTCTGTTTTCTGGCGCTTTACAAAAACAATTCTGTTTTCTATTTTAGAGTCAGACTGCTTTAGATGTCTCATGTAAGTTGACTCGTGCAATTTTTGTCTCTTCTTGGCTGACTTATTTCATGTTACACAGTGCCATCAGTTGGGGGGTACGATGGCTCATGCCTGTAATCCCAGCACTTTGGGAGGCTGAGGCGGGCAGATCATAAAGTCAGGAGATTGAGATCATCCTGGCTAACACAGTGAAAACCTGTCTGTGCTAAAAATATAAAAAATATTGGCCAAGTGTGGTGGCAAGCATCTGTAGTCCCAGCTACTCTGGAGGCTGAGGCAGGAGAATGGTGTGAACCCAGGAGGCGGAGCTTGCAGTGAGCCGAGATGTCACCGCTGAACTGCAGCCTGAGAGACAGAGTGAGACTCTGTCTCAAAAAAAAAAAAAAAGAAAATTTCTCCGTCATTATTTTTGTATTTTTCACTCCTGTGATTTTTAATATTTTTAATGTTTTCATTTATATATATTTTTTAAATTATATTTCATTGTGTTTTGTTTATCTTCAGTTTTAATTATTGTTCTGAACTTTTGTTTTTGTTTTGTTTTGTTTTGAGATGGAGTCTCATTCTGTCACTCAGGCTGGAGTGCAATCGTGTGATCTTGGCTTACTGCAACCTCTACCTCCAGGGTTTAAGCAATTCTTCTGCCTCAGCCTCCTTAGTAGCTGGGACTACAGGTGTGTGCCACCATGCCCAGCTAATTTTTGTAGTTTTAGTAGAGACGGAGTTTCACCATTTTGGCCAGGATGTTTTTGATCTCTTGACCTCGTGATCTGCCCGCCCCAGCCTCCCAAAGTGCTGGGATTACAGACATGAGCCACTATGCCTGGTCTTTTCTAAAAATGTGTGTGTGTGTGTTTGTGTGTGTGTGTGTGTGTGTGTGTGTGTGTCAGAGTCTCACTCTGTCGCCCAGGCTGGAGTGCAGTGGCGTGATCTCAGCACAGTGCAAGCTTTGCCTCCTGTGTTTACACCATTCTCCTGCCTCAGCCTCCCATGTAGCTAGGACTACAGGTGCCTGTCACCACGTCGGGGTAGTTTTGGTTTTTTTTTTTTTTTTTTTGAGGCAGAGTCTTGCTCTGTCGCTCAGGCTGGAGTGCAGTGGTGCGATCTCGGCTCACTGCAAGCTCCGCCTTCTGGCTTCACACCATTCTCCTGCCTCAGCCTCCTGATTAGCTGGGACTACAGGCGCCCACCACCGCGCCCAGCTAATTTTTTGTATTTTTTAGTAGAGACGGGGTTTCACTGTGTTAGCCAGGATGGTCTCAATCTCCTGACCTTGTGATCCGCCCACCTCGGCCTCCCAGAGTGCTGGGATTACAGGCGTGAGCCACCGCGCCTGGTCGTCCGGTTAGTTTTTTTGTATTTTTAGTAGGGACGGGGTTTTACCATGTTAGCCAAGCAGTCTCTTATCTCCTGACCTTGTGATCCTCCCACCTCAGCCTGCCAAAGTGCTGGGATTACAGGCGTGAGCCACCACGCCCCGTCCCTTTTCTGAAAATGTTTAAATTGTTGGACCATGTTGTTCTAATATTTTGTATACATTGTAATGTTTGGTTGTTATTTGAACATTAACAAAAAGCTATTTGTCACAATCTTTACAATGTAGGTTTTTCTTGACATGGTCTGAAACCAATTGTCCTTGAAGGAGATTATGGTAACCTCTCATACATCTTCTAAGGATGTGTCTTCTCTGGAATTTTGTGTTTACTTTTCAGTTAAAAGTGTTTGTTCATGTTCTTTCCTAACAGTCTCTAGGGCCGGGCGCGGTGGCTCACGCCTGTAATCCCAGCATTTTGGGAGGCCGAGGCGGGCGGATCACGAGGTCACAAGATCGAGACCATCCTGGCTAACAAGGTGAAACCCCGTCTCCACTAAAAATACAAAATATTAGCCGGACATGGTGGCAGGCGCCTGTAGTCCCAGCTATTCGGGAGGCTGAGGCAGGAGAATGGCGTGAAACCGGGAGGCGGAGGTTGCAGTGAGCCGAGATCACACTAATGCACTCCAGCCTGGGTGACAGAGCGAGACTCTGTCTGTAAAAACAAAAAAAAAAACACAGTCTCTAATCACTTGTTCCACCTCTTGCCTGTATTTAGCACGGCAGGCTGCTCCTGAAACATTTACATTTGGTTTCAGCAGACCCAATCTTTACTCCCAAAGTATACCACCATTTCAGCACTCTGTGGTATTGGAGACAAAAACCAGGCTCTGTAAAGACACCCAAAAGCCAGAAGTAAGGATATCTGTATCAGTATTTTTCTTCTCTTTAAAGGAAGAAGCCAGGAGTTGATACTTCACTCCTAATGGCAAAGTGCTATTGGGGAGGAGGAAGAGCTGTTGGTGGGTAAATGTAGGAAACATTCCTTCCTGTTCAATGTGGCTCTTGGCATTTTGTTTACCTGAGGCCTTGCATACAATTAACTCATTTATAGGTTTCACAGAAAGGCATCTTTTTTAGTACATGTTTGCTACATGTATATGTCTGTGAAGAAATTATGGCCTGTGGGATTTTGTTATGCCATCTAACTAATGTAGTTTGAATAATTTCATAAGATTTACAAAGTATATTTATATGAATATACTAAGTGGGATAATTTGTAATTTTTATTCCTTTCAGCTGTGTGTTCTCATTTCACCCAAGACCGTTGGCCCGTGCAGGGCATAGAAGATTCATTCCACAATCTTATACTGAGAAGATATGAGAAATGTGGACATGAAAATTTACAATTAAGAAAAGGCTGTAAAAGTTTGAATGACTGTAAGTTGCAGAAAGGAGGTTATAATGAATTTAATGAATGCTTGTCAACTACCCAGAGCAAAATATTTCAGTGTAAAGCAAACGTCAAAGTTGTTAGTAAATTTTCAAAATCAAACAAACGTAAGACAAGACATACTGGAGAGAAACAATTTAAATGTAAAGAATGTGGCAAATCTTTTCCTAAGTTTTCACACCTAACTCAACATAAGGTAATTCATGCTGGAGAGAAACCCTACACATGTGAAGAATGTGGCAAAGCCTTTAAATGGTCTTTAATATTTAATGAACATAAGAGAATTCATACTGGAGAGAAACCTTTTACTTGTGAAGAATGTGGCAGCATCTTTACCACATCCTCACACTTTGCTAAGCATAAAATAATTCATACTGGAGAGAAACCCTATAAATGTGAAGAATGTGGCAAAGCCTTTAATAGGTTCACAACCCTTACTAAACATAAGAGAGTTCATGCTGGAGAGAAACCCATCACGTGTGAAGAATGTAGGAAAATCTTTACCTCATCTTCAAACTTTGCCAAACATAAGAGAATTCATACTGGAGAGAAACCCTACAAATGTGAAGAATGTGGCAAAGCCTTTAATAGGTCCACAACCCTTACTAAACATAAGAGAATTCATACTGGAGAGAAACCCTACACATGTGAAGAATGTGGCAAATCCTTTAGACAGTCCTCAAAACTGAATGAACATAAGAAAGTTCATACTGGAGAGAAGCCCTACAAATGTGATGAATGTGGCAAAGCCTTTGGACGGTCTAGGGTCCTAAATGAACATAAAAAAATTCATACTGGAGAGAAACCCTACAAATGTGAAGAATGTGGCAAAGCCTTTAGACGGTCCACAGATCGGAGTCAACATAAGAAAATTCATAGCACAGCTAAACCCTACAAATGCAAGGAATGTGACAAAGCCTTTAAACAGTTCTCACTCCTGAGTCAACATAAGAAAATTCATACTGTAGATAAACCCTACAAATGTAAAGATTGTGACAGAGCCTTTAAACGGTTCTCACACCTGAATAAACATAAGAAAATTCATACCTGAGAGAAATCCTACAAATTTAAAGCATGGGACAAACTTTTGGATAGTCCACAAACCTGAATGAACATGAGAAAATTTATACTGGAGAGAAACCCTGGAAATGTGAAGAACATGGCAAAGTTCTTTACCTCATTCTCAAAACTTGCTAAACGTTTATAAGAGAATTCATACCAGAGAGAAACTGTACAAATGTGAAGAATGTGGCAAAGCCTGTGGATGGTCCACAAACCTGAATGAGCAGAAGAAAATTATTACTGGAGATAAACCCTGCAAATGTAAAGAATGTGACAAAACCTTTAAATAGTCCTCACTGGTGAATAAACATAAGAAAAATCATGCTGGAGGGAAGCCCTACACATGTGGCAGAATGTGTCAAAGCATTTAATTGGTCCTCAATGCTTAATAAATATAAGATAATTCATGCTGGAGATGAACTTCACATGTGAACAGTGTGATAAAGCCTTTAAATGGTCCTCAATCCTTAATGAACATAAGCAAATTCATGCTGGAGCAAAATGCTTGACATGTGAAGAATGTTGCACAGTTTTTACCACATCCTCAAACTTTGTTAAACATAAGAGAATTTATACCAGAGTGAAATCCTACACATGTAAAGAATGTGGCAAAGCCTTTGATAGGTTCTCAACCCTTACTGTACACAAGAGAATTCATTCTGGGGAAAAAATGCTATAAATGTGAAGAATGTAGCAGAGCCTTCAGACCATCCACAAACCTTTATGAAAATTCACATTTGAGCATAGAAGATTCATTCCACAAACTTATCTTGAGAAGATATGAAAGATGAATATAAGAAAATTCATACTAGATATAAAAACATAGAAATGTAAATGATGTGGCAAAACCTTTAATCCATACTCCAGGCTTCTTAAACATACGAGAACTCATACTGGAGGAAAGTCTTACAAATGTGAAGAATGTTGCAGTCTTAATCTTCCTCAGATTTTTCTAATCATAAGATAATTCACATTGGAGAGAAAATGCAAACATGAAAAGTGTGACAAAGCTTGTAACCACACCTCAATCTATTCTAAATATAAGAGAAATGATACTGGTGAGAAGCCATAAAAATATGAAAAATGTGGCAAAGCCTTCAAATGCTTGTCATATCTTACTGTATATATATAATTTCTATTGAATAAATCCCCTGGAAATACAAAAAATGTGGCAAAACTTTTACCAATGCTCATCTTTTTGCACATGATAGCCTTTATACTCAAGAAAAGTTGTAGAAATATAAAAAATATAGAAAAGTCATATCTACTCACATTTTACTAACTAGCAAAGTTCATACATATTAAAAACATTATAAAAGTAATTTCTGGCCGGGCGCGGTGGCTCAAGCCTGTAATCCCAGCACTTTGGGAGGCCGAGACGGGCGGATCACGAGGTCAGGAGATCGAGACCATCCTGGCTAACACAGTGAAACCCCGTCTCTACTAAAAACACAAAAAACTAGCCGGGCGAGGTGGCGGGCGCCTGTAGTCCCCGCTACTCGGGAGGCTGAGGCAGGAGAATGGCGTAAACCCGGGAGGCGGAGCTTGCAGTGAGCTGAGATCTGGCCACTGCACTCCAGCCCGGGCAACAGAGCAAGACTCCGTCTCAAAAAAAAAATAATAATAAAATAAAAAGTAATTTCTGTTGAAAGACCTTTCAGAAAATTATAGGCCTTAAAAGTGAAGAAGAGTATTCTTAAGACAAGCAATACAAACATAAAGAGGGTTGTAGTACCTGTACTTCTATCATGGATTTTGTTATACACATTTTGTAATAGGGGAAAACCCTAAAGGAGACTTTCTTCAACATCAGAAAATTTATATTTGCGAGAAATCCTACAAATGTAGTAAATGTGGAAAAACATTTGTTCAAAAACTGCAGCTTTAAAAACAGAGAGTTTCTGCTAGAATATAATTTGTAGATGCAGTAAATGTGAAGATATACTTAGTCTAAAATTAAAGACTGTAAACATCAGAGGATTTACAGTAGAAAGAACTAAGGAGGCCGGGCACGGTGGCTCAAGCCTGTAATCCCAGCACTTTGGGAGGCCGAGACGGGCGGATCACCAGGTCAGGAGATCGAGACCATCCTGGCTAACACGGTGAAACCCCGTCTCTACTAAAAAATACAAAAAACTAGCCGGGCGAGGTGGCGGGCGCCTGTAGTCCCAGCTACTCCGGAGCCTGAGGCAGGAGAATGGCCTGAACCCGGGAGGCGGAGCTTGCAGTGAGCTGAGATCCGGCCATTGCACTCCAGCCTGGGCGACAGAGCAAGACTCTATCTCAAAAAAAAAAAAAAAAAAAAAAAGAACTAAGGAACTAACACTTTGGACACTGCAGTAAATCAGAGTATTAAATATAAAAAATAATGCAAAGTTGAACCTGTTAGAGAATTTCTTTGTATATAAGTTGAAAAGATGATTTTTGAAGAGATACTACATTTAAAGTATATTTTTTCACTTGAAAAAAGTATAGATTTTTTGAAAAGCATATAATAGTTAATTCAACTCAAATTATTTCATACTATTTCAACACATTCCTGTTTATATGAAAGTGTGTGATGAATCGTTGCTGCGTCAGAGATAAGAGAGATTCTCTTTCATTCAGTGGGCATTATTCATGAATTTTTACAAGAAAGGGTAAGAACATAAATGAAAGATCCATGATGAAAATCTAAGCAGAGAGGCTTTTTTGTAGTTGACAATACTGAGTGATGCATGAGGTAGGTGTTCAGAGTAATATTCTTGTGCATTATAGTGAGAGAAAAACAATCTGTATTTTACTAGTAAATTGTTTTACCAATTATACATTTATGTAATAAAATACAGTACATTTTAAAATTATTTTAAGATTATGTGGGAACAATTTTTTAACTAAAGAAAATTGTTAACGTGTTGAAATGTTGCTTGAATGAAGTGTCATTATGCCACCAACTTAACACTTATCCCACCTTACTCAAGGGTGTAGGTAAAAGATGGTAACAATGGTAACATAGTTGAATGACATTTTTAGTATTCTCTTTTTCCAATGGCTTTAAATAGCAAATATATTGAAGAATATCTTTCCCATTTGTTGCATTTTTACTCTTGTTATTTTCTAAAATTTTTATGGGTACGTAGTATGCATATTTATCTATGGCATATATGGGTTATTTTCTTATACAGGTATACAACATGTAATATACCAGAGTAAATGAGTTATTCACCACCTCAAGCATTCATCCTTTGTATTACACACAATCCAATTATACACTTTAATTATTTCTAACTGTACAATTATGATTGTAGTATTAGAGTGTAATTATAATTCATACATTTATGCATCCTGAATACTTTTTTAAATGTTTTACATTTATCTTTGAACATGTGGCATCTTTTCCTGCAAACTTATACAAACATTAGTTCCCGTTACATGAAGTTAAGTATATAAATGTGTTACTCTAAAGATAAACCTTAGGTGTAAGAAAATTATGGAGCAATCAATTGTGTTTGTGTGAGTTTGTACCTATTTTCCAAAGAAAATAGCAATATTAGAACAAAGAAGATTACGTTAATACCATGGATAATTTACTGGAAATCTAGAAGCCTGAGACATTCTGAAACCACATTTATATTTTCATCTTTTTATTTAATTAATTACTCTAAAATCTAATGGATTGTTGTTGAGAATCTCCCCATATAAATTCTCTGTTTTTATTTGATGCTCATGCTAGAGCTATAATTTCTTTGATTCTCTTTTTTTTTTTTTTTCACTTCATGAAGTATTTATTATGTGAGCTGGTTAGAAATTACAAGAATGATTTTTATAAAATTTAGTAGTGAACATAAAATTTTTAGATGTAATTTCATAATATATGTATTAAGTTATATTTTAGTTAGAACATTTCATTTTCTTTTAAGAACCCTATATAAGCTGTTTTGTTTAGTTATTGTTCCTTTCAGTTTTTATAATTGACATAAATTAGTTTATTTTACCAATTTGTTCAGGTAAGTACTGGGAAAACTTTGTCAATTATGGGGATGTTTTGATGTATTATTGTAGTGAACAAACAAAGTTCTGGGTGTTTAATAGTTGCTTCATGATTAGCCATAAATATTCCTGGAGTTAATTTGTAGCTCCAAGTAAGAGATTGATGGCATTAATTGTGTATGTGGAGAGGACATCTGTTCCCAGGCTGCAGAACCAACTCATTATGAATGTAAAGAGGATTTGTGTTCTTATTTTCTACTTATCTTCAGTTTTGTAATGTCTTTATGTATTTATGCCCAGGTATGTATGCCCCAGAGCCTTTCTTCATTTTTGTATTATGGCTAGTTTCTCACTGTTCTCTTCATGCCACATAATTTCACATGAACTTTAGGTTTTAATGATAAGTTTGAAGTTTTTACTATGGTAAATTGTTTTTAACTGGGGTGTTTGAGGTTATTTATAGGTTATCAGTGCAACATTTAGATCACGTAATTGAGATAAGAGTAATTCACTGTCCACAGGTAAGAGGATTAAGTCAGTCAGCATTGTTTTTCTGTGTTTGTAAAAGAAAAATTGTATGAGATTCTATGACAAAGTGTGTAAAATGTAACAAAAGTTAGAGCAAGTAAAGCATTAATATAAGTGGGTTGTATATTGTACCACCATATGAAGAAACACATCAGAATTTTGAAATTTCTTAAGAGGAAATATATCTTAGTAATAAAATTTTTAGGCCAGGCGTGGTGGCCTTAAAAAGTGCTGTAATCCCAGCACTTTGGGAGGCCGAGACAGGCAGGCCATGAGGTCAAGAGCCAAGATCATCCTGGCAAACATGATGAAACCCCATCTCTACTGAAAATACAAAAATTAGCCGGGCATGATGGCATGTGCCTGTAGTCCCAGCCACTCCGGAGGCTGAGGCAGGAGAATCGCTTGAACCCAGGATGCGAAGGTTGCAGTGAGCTGACGTTGTGCCACTGCAGTGCATCCTGCCAACAGAGCAAGACCCCATCTCAACAACAGCAACAAAAAGGAAGAAAATTCTTAGGAGACAATGGTAAGTGAAGAATTTTACATTTAATTTTCTGTGACATAGTAAAACTTATTTTTCCATACAAAATCTTCTATTTATTTATATATTTATTTATTTTAGATGGAGTCCCACTCTGTCACTAGGCTGGAGTGCAGTGGCTCAATCTTAGCTCACTGCAAGCTCTGCCTCCCAGGTTCAAGTGATTCTCCTGCCTCAACCTCCTGAGTAGCTGGGAATACAAGCACCCGCCACCACACTCGGTTAATTTTTGTATTTTTAACAGAGATGGAGTTTCGCCATGTTGGCCAGGATGGTCTCGATCTTTTGACCTCATGATCTGCCTGTCTCAGCCTCTCAAAAAGTGCTGGGATTACAGGCATGAGCCACCGTGCCAGGCCAGAATCTTATATTTTTGAGTGTGAATGTTAAATGGTGGAAAAACAATAGAATTATCTCTGTAGATTCAAAATCTGCAATGATCTTTTTTGTCCATATTCATATTACAATCTTGAGGAATTTCTCTTCCAATTTTTTGTTTTAGTGGATGCATTTCATGAGCTACAGTTTTCATTTTTAGTCACCTTACTTTATCCAAGTCCTTGGTCACTTTCTCTGCAAAAAAGTTTGAAGATTATGGCAGAAATTGAATTCAAATATTTTCTCAGTGATTTTTTGTTTTAATTTTTTTTTTTTTTTTTTTTGGAGATGGAATCTTGCTCTGACACCCAGCTGGAGTGCAGTGGTATGATCTCAGCTCATTGCAACCTCCACCTCCCGGGTTCAAGTGATTCATTCTCCTACCTCAGCCTCCCGAGTAGCTGGGATGCAGGTGCCCAATACCATGCCCAGCTAATTTTTGTATTTTTAGTAGAGATAGGGTTTCACCAAGTTGGCCAGGCTAGTCTCAAACTCCTGACCTCGTGATCAACCCACGTCAGCCTCCCAAAGTGCTGGGATTAGTGGCATGAGCCACCGTGCCAAGCCTCTCAGTGATTTTTGATGAAAATTCATTTACTGTGTTCACAGAGTGGCCAATTATGGGACCTTTAGCATCACTCGCCCTTTTAGTGTCTGTCTTACATATGATTTCCATCAGCACTAGAAACTCCAGGTACTTCAAGCGTAAAAGTAAAAGCCCTAGAGTGCATTGTCTTGTATTATATATTGTTCTGGGTCTAAGACATGCTAGTAAATATTAGAGTTCCTATGATTATTTTCTTTTTTATTTTGTTTTTGAGACAGAGTCTCACTCTGTCGCCAGGCTGGAGTGCAGTGGTACAATCTCAGGTCACTGCAACCTCCGCCTCTTGGGTTCAGACG